ACTTCTCGCCATGCCTCTTCTGAAAGCTCCTGACCCGTTTCCGGAGTCAATCCAGTTTCGAGATCTTCGGCCCATTTCTTGAGCTGGAAACCAGCACGAAATGGCCTTCTTGTCCCCACAATGGGTTTCCAGTACTCGCTGACGGAAGTAACTGGTACTACCACTGTATCCTTCTCACTCGAAACCCGACGGTTTACCACATATGAGGCCCCCTTGCGTCTGACAAATTGTAGACGTTTGGTTTCCTCGAGACGTTTGATCGTCTGCTGCGTAGTGTTTAGCTGGTCCTTGAGTTGCCTCAAGTACCGAACAAGCTCTAAACTACTATCGGCCCGGTCCCCAAGTGTTTCAGACAGTTTGAGGTACTTACGGCTGACCCGCTTTCGCTCGCTCCGCTTACGCACTTTTCTTCTATCTAACTCGCTCGAGATTATAGAAATAGAGCTGACGATAACCCTTCGTCGTTCTATTTCTTCTGATAGAGTCATCTTTAGGCTTCCGCTACGTTCTTGCCCCAATCTATCGGTAGTGGCAGCTATCGCACGCGCGACTGCATACACTAAGTCATTTAGCTTGGTAATGTAACGTTGGCCCTGCGAGACCGGTTCTGGCATTCTCTCTCGTAGAATGTCATTGCCAATCTCAAGAAGATCCTTGGGAATCTCAGACCCAGGTCTCCTTATACTCACTCTATCTCGGAACGTACTAGCCACGTTCAAGTACAACTCAACTCTCTGGAGTACCTGGTCTTTAAGACTAGGCTCACTGAGAGGAGCAGTAACCGTGATGGGTTCGAGGTCCGGGTAACCCTCCCTCGCCTGTACGAAACCCACCACATTCACCTCAGAAGTCCCGAGGCTCGGGTTTCCCTCCGCCTCGGAATCTTCTCTTCTTTCGTCTTCTTCCACGTCTTCCATCACAGGTGTCTTGCGCAGTTTCGCGTAAGCTGCCTTGAGAGCAGCCACGGTCCGCTGCGGATCTTCGGGATTACGCTGGCTTTCCCAAGCTGACGCAAGGTTCAACCAACGGATCCGTCCGTTCCTCAAGTCTTTGTGACGGGAGACCTCCAACGACAATTTGTGAAACTCGCGAGCAAGCCACACATTTCGACCACAAGTCCTCCCCCTTCGAGCGCTAGGCTCTTTTATGGGATCAGCAGACCGGAGGCCATTTGGTCCTAAAGAGGACCTTTTGGAGGTCGTGCTGCCGAGTTCTGGGGAACCCGACTGCACTAGACTAGGGCGGCTTTCCCGGTTTGACGGCCGGGTCCTGATATGATTTCGCCAATCCTTTTCTAGCTTGTTCACTATTTGCCGCCGAGTGCCAGCACACTCGGTCGTTTTCCGGCCACACCACGGGGAGGTTGTGAACATCGTGACCATGCGCGTCAGTAGTTAGCTGACGAGGCATTTGGCTAC